TCGAAGAGGAAGCAACAGGGGGCTTCCCAGTTTTTCCGCATTTGTTTCATGGAATGCTCCTTGGTTCCAAAGACGAACAATCTACGCACGCACTAGCAACAAGTTCATACCTGGGTGATATCTTTTCCTTATCGCATTCGTGTGATAACGACCACGAGTATTGAAATCGCTATGCGATCCGCCGACGCCAGTGGGGTGCTAGGGAATTTAAGACCGTTTTCATTCTTTCATGGAAGTGATGCTGAGGATGCTGGAAATGCAAGGAACCACACAACGTACAGGAACAGACCCATCTTCGCATCCAAAATTTCAAGACTTTCAGGCATGCAAAATTGACCAAACACAGAAAACACCAGAGATGCCGGGAATGCTGGGAATGCAGCCGGCTGGCCACAAAAATGTCCCAAAAACCATGATTTTGTGTACATGTCCCAAACTCAACCATGAAAAGCAGATACTAGCAACCCCCGCAAATACCCTAAAAAAATGACTTCCAGAAACACGATAATGCAGAGGGTGTTTCGCAGTACCTGCTCCGTACAGTTGGGCAATTGCAACAAACACTCATTTTTGGAAATTCAATCAGTTCCTCCGCGTATCACTGCACTTGGCCCCACCCAGACCCCTAACAGGCAGATTCCAACATTGCTTGAAAAAGCAAAACGCCATTAGTATCTACAAACAAAAGACAAATTCATGGCAGCAAGGTAATCCTAATGATGCTGGGGATGCAGATCCTGCGCTTCCGAGGGAAACTCCCCCCCCACTGGAGACCTAGGCGAAACGCAAATTTTTAGCACGCAAGCCCCAAAGACACTGGACAACTACAGGGTTTTGGACACCCAGCACACCACGCCCAAAAAAAATCGGCGGCCCCAAGAGCCTTCGGCTTTGAGAAGAGATCCGAAGGAAGACCAAGTTGCGGACTGCCGTCTACACGCTCGACTGGCTCTGATTCCTGCGTCGGATATGGTTTCTCCGCGGCTTTGGGTAGGGTCATGGGAACGAGGTAGAGGAGTCTACCCAAATGGGCAAGAATTAAACAGGCTTGATGTCGCCTATGCTTCGTGGCCATTTCAACATTTGCAACTGAATGCAACACCGCCAAGATGAACACAAACCATTTGTCAGTTTTCCCCTAAAAAGGAAACCAGCTGGAGTTGGATGGTTTAGGGGTAATTCCAGTTCTCATTCCCTCATTCCCCGCGCACTACGTACCACCAACTTTTATGCGTGTTTCCGTTTTTCATTTTTTCTCTACTTCGACCACCAACACGCACCAGCAAGTGTTGTGTTTTTCCCGCTTTCTTGTTTTCCTCTACTTCGCCCGATGGCCAAGAGGCCCATAAGGCGTTGGGCGCGATCTTCTTCCCGGGGCGGTCGAGTGAGGCTGAAGTGGCCGCCGCCGCTGCAGGCGGCCGCGCTGCAGAAGTCCACCGCCTTCGCGCCGGTGGCGCCGAGGATGGGTTCGCTCGTTGCTTTTGGCGAGCGACACGGGGAAATCTCCAAGCGGGAAACACCGAAAAGGAGACACCCGGTGGCTCCCAGCCATCCGGTTCCTTGGCTTCTTAGCCTTTTAGTGTTTAGTGGTGGTTTCCATATTTGACCCACTAAAAGTGAGTCACTTTGAGCGGGGGATCTGAGGGCAGCCCAGGAGATCCGAAAGAGCCAAAAGGCGCTAAGCGGAAAAACACCTGAGGGGATGGCTGGGAAGTCACTTTTTTTGGTCTGGACCATTTTTGTCTCTTTTTCTCAATTGGAACTCTGTTTCAAGCTATGAGATTCATTTCCCAGCAAAGTTCCGTGCTTTGCCTATGTCTTCCCTTGACTCTCCTTGTTTCGTTCCCTTCCCCAATCGCCGACAAATGTGAGACGACTCGTCCCACTCACACGACGAAGCGCGCGCACGCAGCTTTCGAAGCGCGCGGCAGGAAGAAGTCCCGGCGCCCAAAGTTCCGGCACTACGCCTCCGCCTCGGTGCGCTGGAAGGACTTCCCCAAGGGTCAGGCGAGAAATCGCGAGAAAGCCCAATTCCGAGTTTAGGGCATTGAACCAAACATGTGGTTGGTTCTAGGTGGCTTTCCTTTTCCCACTTCAACCCTAGCTGCCCAATTGGATCAGATCCAATTCAGCTCGAGCCTCGGAGATCGACTTCTCCGAGCTTCGTTTAAGGCAGTCTTGCCCGCAAGGGGTGTTCGGGTGAGGGGGCGTTGGCCCTTTCGGTCGCCAAAGCCTTGAAGGCGGTTCCCAAAGCTTTGGAACCACGGGGGTACGCTCCAAAAGGACCCCCCCAACCCCGCCCGATGTTAGTGGTTGGTTGGTGCTCCGCCAGATGTGGAACATGGGCTTTTCAGTACCATGTTCAGTGATACCAATGGAATCCCCCCTTCCAACAAGAGATGGGTGCGTCTCACGGTTGGTTTCCCTTAGCCCAAAACGGGGCACCGAGATTCGTTTCACTGCGTGTGGTTTTCCAGCGCTTTCTACCCCCGAAAAGCATGGTTGGACGTGAGGTTGCCCAGCACCCAGCTCGAGATGAACCAACACACAGCCAACCACTGCCTTTGGACACTTTGGATTTTGGACATGCGGAGAAGCAGGCCTCTGTTGGTGGCTGGAAGTCGCTGCCCAATTTTCCCCATGCACAAGTCCGCTGGGCCTCTTTTTTACATTGGCGCCAACAAACAAAGGGTGAGCCCAATGGTGCTTTTCCCATGGAACAATCCGCTTTTTCTCTCTTTCAATTGCTTTGATACATATATATATATATATATATGTATATCATAAATATTAAAATTCCTTCCTAAGTAGTGCCCTTTTACCATTTCTTTTTTTGGGGAGGGTTCCCCTACTAAAATAGACGTCCTGAAGAAAAAAAACGGGCGCCCTTCTTTTAACCTCTCTGCTGGACCTCCTAGTTCCTATTGGCTCGCGGTATTTGGGGGGGATCTGCCCGTGGGCCAGGTGCTGACGGCGCCACCTGTGGACTTGGAGGACAATGAGGAGCTGAAAGCGGCGCAGGATACGGACTTTCTGGCGGCTCTGCAGTCCATGTTTAAGGCGGAGAACTGAAGGCTCAGAGCAAGACCAACAACATGCGGTGAGTTGTTTGATTGTTTTTCTTTGCCGAGGATAGCTCTTTTTGGTCTGGTCCAAGGAGAAACCTTGCATGTGTCCCCTATTTTGAGACAAAGATTCACGGAGTTTTTGCCTTTATGTTTCAGTCTAGGTTCTTTGGCACACGGTAGACCTGTGCCTCTCGCCGCGTGCCTGGAGTTTTCTGGCTTTCCGAAGGAAGCCGAATCTGACCGACCAGGCCGAAAGCATTGGCTCCGTGCTCGGAGCCATCAAATCGGAGCGACCTCCGGGAGCCTCGGATAGTCAGGGCCCCACTCGTTCCAAGAACAGGGGGAAAATGAGCAAAGGGCAACCCCGGTTCAGGTCTTGGACCCCTTGGCACATAGATGGTGACCGGCTCTATTGGGCCAGGTCCCCGGGAAATGATGGCAGCAGGTAAAACAAAGAACACTTGACGCTTTCTGTTTTGAACAGAGTGTGCGGATGCGAAACAGCCCATTAATTCATTTGATGCCCAGAGCGCCCAAGTTGGTGCGGATTCCATGTGCTCTTGGTGCTTGGCCTGGTCGGGGGAATAGCGGGAAGTTGGCGAGCAAGTGCGCTTCTTCTGCATCAGTGAGGGACGCCTTTGGTGAAATACTCGGAAGGTGGTCATGATGCTTTCAGCAGCCAAAATGGGGAGTCATGATAAATGGACAACTGGTTGCTCTATATCGAGGGGTATCCCGTGCAACTGGAGATCCACCGTCACTTTGCACGTTGCAGAAAAGGAAGCCCGGATGAATCAACATTGGTTTTTTTTTTCAGTGTACCCTTGTCACCTTGGTTTGAAGGGAAACCGAAGGGGAAGCTTACCACCATTTTTGGGGGCGCCCCTATTTTGAAACATACCCCTATACATTGTCTCTCTTTCCATCTTCAAGTTTGCCTGGCTGCGTTGGCTTGCTCGGTAACGGACCTCGCCTCGGTTAATACCTCCCTGCAACCTGCCTAAGACAGGCTGCAGAGCAGAAAATGACCAGGGTGGATGACGGCAATGGAAAGCATCGCTTTTCGGGAGCATCCATCCCTGAAACGGAATGGGCGGTACAGCAGTGAGGGGATGCATGTCATTCGATGCTATACAGTTTGTCGCGGTTGCGGATGTGCTGCTTTCAGCATTTCCCGCCAAGCATCTTGACCCAATGTTGGGGTATCAACCTTGCTTATAGAATTGCCCTAGATCACAATAATATTCAATTATTTGCCACTTGCAACAATTGCATAAGTACACTTGTACGTGAACGTAGATGTGCATGTAGGGAGCAGAGGTTAGTGTGGGGACAAGCCCACTTAGTGCTTAGCCGGATGTCGATTTGAGAAGCACAGAAAATTGACCAGAAAGAGCCAGGGCACATTGTTTCCAGCCATTCAAAGTCACCTGGTTTTTGTCTTTGAGTTGCAGTCGGTTGCAGTTGCAGCTGGCGTTTTTGGGGCCGTAGGGGGCACAGAGACCGTTAAGTCAAAGCCGAAACCAATACCCTTTCTTCACTCACGGAGGAACCGCCTTTGCAGGAGGGTGGCCTGCCAAGCGCCTTTCTGTTTACTTCCATACACCCATCCTTGTTAAACAAAAAAACACGTTATATATAAACAAATAAACACAATAATGATAATGAGAATGATAATGATAATAAACAAAATAAAAATACAAATACTAATAATAATAGTAATAATAATAATAATGATTGAACACGAAACAAACAACTGGGTAACTACTCTCGCGAGTTCTCCATGGTAGTGTTGTTTGCTGAACGCATGATTTTGCGGAGGGCATCCTCAAGTCAATGTGCTCGAATTCTCGTTTCATTCTCCGCAGTGAATAACAGCCGCTTCGAACTGAGCACGCCGCAATGGTATTATTCAATCCAAACTGATCACACGAATCAACACAACATAGCATATATGCAATCATGTGTATATGTGTGGTATGCTTTTGCACCATCGACGGATGCATCTGACTCGGATCCTCGAACTGCTTGCCCCTTCGCCCAAAATAAAATGGTGCGATCTCTCGCGGCGTGCGGACGGAGCGGGTTGGGCAGTTAAAAGGGAAGCCTTTGGTGATGTTCTCCTTGGCGAAGGAAAATATTCCCACGGTTTCAGTGACGCCAATCGCTTTGTGCTTAATGGCCAGCAGTTTGATTTAGCAACTCTGAGGTGGGCAAGCAAAGAGCAAACACCAGGCTTGAAGGGTACGAAAGCACCCTTGAGGACAGTGAGTGCATGCTTTACATTTGGGTTTTGCGCAAAGCGGGGCAACCCACAAAAGCGCGCTTTCACGATCTTTCGCTCGGTTTGCCACCAAACAACTGCAAAAGGGTACCCTGAAGAACCGACACGGAACGCTTCCCCCCCTTCCCCCATAGCATTCTGGCTTCGCACTGAAGATCGCGCTTTTTGTTTCAACAACCCAGTTGGCGCAGATGGCTTTTCCAGGACCCGAGCTTTCATGTTGGTTTCCGTAAGGTCCAACATGTGCTGGCATGTGACGCGCCGTTGGGCCCTCGATGCTTGGTGGCTCCCAGCCATCCGGTTCCTTAGCTTTTTGGCTTTTTAGTGAGCGGGGATTTCCTATTTAACCCACGAAAAGTTAAGAGTTTTAACGCCTCCGGCTCAGACCGCCGACATTTCCGGCCTGTTTCCCCTTTTCCACCTAAGATCTATCCCCTTTCCCCCAAGGGAAATCTGAGAACAGCCCAGGATGCATTTCCCCTCCGCAGGTGAACCAGGCGGTGCACGTGGCCAACGGCAGCGCGCTGCCGCCGTGGCTGCGGAGATTCGTGGCGCCGAGGGCGCCGGAGCCTCTGCCGGCACTGCCCTGTGCCGGGGGCCACAGGCGCTCGACCGAGCGGTCCTTTTGGGCGCGAAGTAAACTTCCATTGGTTCAAGCATATGTTCTATTTGCCCCTGTTGGAATTAAAAGGAATCGATCACTACTGGAAATATATTTTTTCCAAAGGGCTGAAGCAAATGGAAGTAAAGGGCCGCAGTTTTTTTTTTTTTTGTGGGGCGTTGATCAAAAGGTCCGATGAGCACGGGATGATTGGTTGGGAAGCCATCAAGAACCGATTAGATATGTCCTACATGGGAAAGGTACTCATGCTCATTTGGGGGCGGGCCAGGAATATTGATCAACTTAAGGCTTCAACCATCTCTACGTCCAGGGATGTCCAGTAGTGCTCATGACAGTCTATGTAGTCGGACATCACCTTTTGTTGCCAATTTTAATCCTTGGGTGCTCAGGGAAAGCCCTGGGCCAGGGGAGAGCGAGTTTGTTTGAGAGACCACCTACCATGCTGGGCAAGCTTTTGGCGGGCTCATCCGCAAAGCGAGCTCGTCACCCATGAAGGTCCTTTGACAGCTTCCTTTTCGGTCGTTGGGAAGCTGGCAACTTGTCCAGATGGGCCCAGTTTGATGGTAAACCAAAGCTCAGTTGTTCAGTGGCACCCTTTTTCCTCTCTTTTTTTTGTGGCTGCCCCGCTAAAAACGGTCTTACCCAAAAAGGGTTCCCTTTTTTGTCCAGGGTCACTGAACAACTGAGAAAGGGAGAACAAGCATTGTCCATTTTGACGAACTAGATGATTCAGTCCGCCCTCAAGGGAAGCCAATAGATTGTTTTAACGAAGAATCTTGAGTCACCATGGCTTTTTCATCGCCCAACCCTTCTCAGGGAAGGACATGGAAAGGAACGCGTGTTTCACTATTTTTGCGGTTTTACTAGAGTACTGGTTGTTTCCGGATTGTTGAAAGTTTTTGGTGATTTGTAAGATGCGTGGAACTCATCCGCTCAATTTCCCCATTATTTTGGCTGCTCTTTGGGTCACGCAAAGTGTCCGTCTCAACTGGCTGTCGCAAAGTGCACGTTTTCAACCAAGCAACCCTTGGCCCTTGGCTGGTCTTGTATTGAATGTTCCACATGATTAAGTGCTTGTTTCCATCATTTTTGTCAGTTGTCTCTCATTTGGTGTTGCTTTCTACCTTGTGGTGCGAATCTTATGATTATTTGGTCAACCTCACCCCCCCCCCTCTGCTTGCAACATCCAAGGACTGTCCAAGGCAATCCTTGGCGTTGGGCCTTTGAACATAGGATGACCTAGTTCCCCCAGTGCCCTAAACATCGTCGTCAATTTTAGGGGGCGCCAACCCCTGATGAAAACAGGAGGCAGTATTTACATGTGGACGTTGCTTGAAAAAGAAAGCTGGTAGTTGGAGCAGGGGGAGGTCTTTACTCGCTTGCCGAAAGCCGAGCTCTAAAAGGTTTCCCAATTTTGGTCCATCTTTGGTCATGGCCCGACAAGGTTCACCTTTTAGTTCCAGGTCGTTTGGGCAAATGAGTTTAACTAGGTCCCCCAGTAGTGCCCTTTGACCCTTTTTAGGGGGGAGGGTTCCCCTACTAAAATAGGCTACCTGAAAAAAATCGGGCACCCTTACTCTATCCTTTCTACTGGAGGGCCTAGTTTCTGCAGGAACCCCAAAAAGTTTCATTTGGTTCATGCAACCAACTTGGACTTTAAGATTCAAAAACGGACATCTCGACTTCGACTTCCGACGTCCGCTCGCTCGAGGACAGGATTCTGGGCCTCTCGAAGATGACGTGGGCGCTGATTTGCGACGCGCCGAGCCCTCAGCGAATGGACGAAAATCGCACTCAGAGGATCCATGTGTACTCAGGTACCACTATGGGTGTTGGGTTTTTATATGTGTGACGTTCAGACAAAACATACATGTGACAGTGCGTGTTCTTCTTCTTCTTCTTATTATTATTATTATTTTTAATAGCAATCCCAATGAATGTGAGGTGTGTGTGTGTGTGTTGGGAGGGTACCCTTTTCGGGTGAGCTGAAACAAAAACGAAAGGACACCACTTGTTTTTTTGGTGCCCTTGTTTCGACACGCCCCTTTGGTACCGGGCAGTTTATGACGGGCTCACCAATCGGGGAAAGACACGCCTTATTTTAGTGTTTCTTCTGTCTGGTTTGTGAATTATAGTATTTTGCGGATAGTAGGTAA